GCCTTACGACAAAATACAGAGTAACGCAGACATCACTGATGCAACAACCAACCTGTGTTGTAAAAGTCATGATGCCAGTAAGCACAGTTGAAATTTTCAGATGTAACCAACTGATTCAAGTAATTGACCCTTGTCACCAACTCCCTGGGCATAAACAGTTCTCGCTTTGCCAACCACACACAGAGCGTAGAGACACAGCTTGGTGACCACATCACATTTGTGGTCAAGTCGCACATCTGATCCATGTACGAGTCTTGCTGCCCCTCAGAGGCAGTACTATACTCTCGTGCCTTTTTTGTTTGTTTAATATTATTCATAAACACAGACACCTGTATAACATTCTACAGTGAATTTGTTGAAGTTTTGACAAAAAAAGTGTTTACATCTAAATTAATTAAAATTAAGCTTGAAAAACAGTGATTTCATTTATATTGTGGTTGATATCAATAATCATGAATATAATCTGGTGAAAAGAAAAAAAAAAATAGCGTGGCAAGGTTGTTGGTTTTTTCTCTTTTCTTGCCTAGCCTTAGTGTTAAAGGAATTTTATACCAAAATTGATTGTTTAAAAAAAAAAATAATTAAAGACTGACACCCTCATACCTTCTTACTACTTTACTTACTAGTAATTAAGATTTTAAAAATCAATGGTAAGCCAGCTGCTGGTATTTCTTTATTTTACCACAATATGGTGAGTAGTGTTGATAAGCGGTAATTACTGTTATCAGTATTTGGTATTTATAGATCCTAACAATGCCTATTAATGGACCTAGTTGTAATATAATTGTTGTAAGTCTGGTTTGATTGTGAACACTGAAGCATCCGCAGTTGCTTCAGTGCTATGCCTCCCATGCAGCAGGTCTTTTGCGCTGTTGGAAATGAGCACTGTCAGCAGCAACTGTGGAATCAAACGACCACACCTTTAGTTCTCTGCATCATTTCTGCTAAGAGGTGTGTGCGTGTGTGATGTTGTCAGATTAATGGAAAGGAGTGAAAGTCTGAAAGAGCCTTCTCAGAAGTGAGATTGAGACAGGAAGGTAATGGGATTCCTTCTTGAAAGTCTTTCTAATAACTGAAAAGCTCTAACACTGTTAAAAAAGATCCATCACCTCTCTGGTCTCACCCTTCAAAGGTTGTTGTAGATATGAGTACTCTGAAGTATATTTGTGATTTTTCTGTAGTAAGGGTGTTGCAGACTGGCGCAGACCGTATTATTTATTTATTTATTTATTTATTT